ATGGATTAGGAGACAGCATGGGAGTAGCACAGCCGAGGTGCACACACATGTGACAGGACGGCCTGGCCCAGGCTGCAGGGGGCAGGAGAACGAGGTAAAGCAGAAAGGTGTGAACACGGCCATTCACTACGGCCCTTTATGGTGTGAACTCAGGTCTTGCTCACCAAGCTGAGGGGGCTGGATTTTGTCCTCAAGGCAGCAGGAAGCCATTAAGTTGGGTAGAGGCCCAGCTCACTGGCTCACATCTATAATCCCAGCACTTTGGGAGGCCAAGGTAGGTGGATCACCTGAGGTCAGGAGTTCGAGTCCAGCCTGAGCAACATGGTGAAACCCTGTCTGTACTAAAAATACAAAATTATCTGGCTGTGGTGGCAGAGGCCTGTAACCTCAGCTACTCAGGAGGCTAAGCAGGAGAATTGCTTGAACTGAGGAGGTAGAGGTTGCAGGGAGCCAAAATCATGCCAATGGGGGACAGAGCGAGACTCTTCAAAAGAAAAAGCTGAGACTCGCTGATGTCACTCCATGCCTCCAGAATTCTCTCCGGCTGTGGGGGTAGACCTGAGCGGGCAAGAGGAGATGCCAGATAGGAGCAAGCTGCAGCAATGAGACAAGAGTGCATATGGGCCCAGTGGGGACTCAAAAGGAGAGGGAGAAAATGAAGCAGGTCTGAGGAGCCTCAGGGCAGACTCAGTAACCGACTAGGTTCCTGGGGAAGAGAGGAGTCAAAGCTGAGTCCTTGGGTGCTACGTACTTGGTGGACATTGGTCAGGGCAGAGCACAGGCAGAAAATGCGGGTTGGCTGGGCATGGGCGACTGTGGTGATGCTAGTCAACAGTCAGCTGACTGTGCTCTCTGTTGAAGTCACAGGAGTGTATATGGGACAGACAGAAGAGAGGGGGTGATCCTGGAGGATGCCAGCATGATTGAGGGAAAAGGAATAGGAAACAGCCAGTGAGGGGTGACATGAAGAGCAAGGGAGGTAGAGGAGGCTGTCATTGGTGGTCTCAGCCCAGCAGAGGCCAAGCAGGCTGGGAACTGGTGGTGGTGGGGCTACTAGGGCCTCTGCTGGAACCACCTGGTGAGCCCCTAAGGGGAGGCCCCCACCCCAGGGCCTCTAGCACCTGCCTGGTCCCCAGATATCTGACAAATGTGACCGAGGAAAGAATTGGAGGGGGCAGGTAAAGGGATGCCCAAGGCCCCCTCTCTGGGCCTCAGGAAGGGTGCAGTGCCCCAGGTCAGACTTAGCCAGACCCTCAGGACCAATGTCCAGTGCTGTCCATGGGAGGATCTGCCTCAGACCCCCTGCTAGGGGAGTCCTGGGGGAGCTGGAGTCTCCTCTGGCTCAGGGAACACTTAAAGCAGCTTGAAGCATTTGCTGAGAGACAGCACCACCTAGTGTGCAGGAAGTGCACGCCAAGCCATTACCCTCAAGCTCTGGGCGTTGGGGTTGATCACAGAAGTCCCGGCAGCTGCCCCAGGTTCCCTGAAGACAATAAACCAGGGCTTCCACCACCTGAGCAGCACCTGAGCCTCTGATAGCAGGACCCTGCAGCATCAGCTGAGATCAGCTCTGCCAATGGAGAAAGTGGGCAGGTGAGATTTTAACAGAGATCCATTTGGCCACAAGGCACAGGCAGAGATTCAGGGGCCTGCCCTCACATGGGTAAGCTCACTGGGGACTGGGCTGATCGCAGTTCTGTTGTTGTTGTTGTTGTTGTTGTGTTCGTTCGTGGTGTCCTTAGGTTCACAAGGAAAATAAGTATGCTTGTGAAGCTCGCATGGCTCGCCCCCCCCCACTCCCAGTCCACAGAATTCTCAGAGCCTCCCGAAGCTCTGGTCTCCTGTACAGCTCAGGCCTCAGCAGTCAGGTCAGAGGTCTTTACGAAGGTAGGGGCTGTCCACAGGGTGCCCCAGCAGCAGGGAATGATTCCTGCCACCTATTCCCCAATGATTTCCCAGGGTCCTCCCTCACTCCAGCTTCAGCTTCAGGAGCCTCCTCCCCAAAGAAAGAAGTAACTGTGGATGCCACCCACCAAGGAGGACCCGGACTCCACGGCCTACACAGTTGGTCACAGCCAATAGCTTGCTCCTACTCCTCAGCAGTTTCAGGGCAAGGTCAACAGCTAAGTGGGGTCAGTGACCTTCCTCAGCAACTTGGCAGAGCTCATTTTTATTCTCAACTGTGGGTTCAGCTAGGCAAATAAAGAGTTCTTCTAAAAATATATATTTTTAACTTCCCCTATGACAAAGAAATGAATGTACAATGTTAAAATATTAGTTTTACAAGAATGTGTGACTTAGAAAGTGAAAGTTCCATATATAGTCCTACCCCCTAACAAATTTTTTTTTTTTAGAGATAGAGCCTCACTGTGTCTCCCAAGCTGGAGTGCAGTAGCACGATCTTGGCTCACTGAAACCTCGACCTCCCGGGTTCAAACAATTCTACTGTCTTAATCTCTCAAGTAGTGGGAACTACAGGCACCTACCACCATGCCAGGCTGATTTTTGTATTTTTAGTAGAGATGGGGTTTCACCATGTTGGCCAGGCTGGTCTCGAACTCCTGGCCTCAGGTGATCTGCCCACCTTGGCCTCCCAAAGTGCTGGAATTACCATGGTGAACCACCATGCCCAGCATGCCCTAACAAAATTTTTTTGACAGCCTGGTATATATTCCTCCAACTTGTCTTTTTTTTTCTTTTTTTTAATTTATGATACAGGGTCTGCCTCTGTTGCCTAGGCTGGGGTGCAATGGTGCAATCATGGCTCACTACAGCCTTGGCCTCCTGGGCTCAAGCGATCCTCCCACCTCAGCCTCCCTAGTAGCTAGGATTACAGATACGTACCACCACAGCCAGCTAATTTTTGTATTTTTTGTAGAGACAGGATCTCCCTATGTTGCCCAGGCTGGTCTTGAGCTCCTGGGCTCAAGTGATCCTCTTGCCATGGCCTCTCAAAGTGCTGGGATTACAGGCGCGAGCCACTTCACCCAGCCACCAGCTTTTTTTTTCTAGGCACATATACAACTTGTGTGTACATGTGTTGTTGCTGGTTTTTGTTTTTTGTTTTGTTTTTTTCTGAGATGGAGTCTTGCTATGTTGCCCAGGCTGGAGTACAGAGGTGCAATCTCAGCTCACTACAGCTTCCGCCTCCCAGGTTCAAGTGATTCTCCTGCCTCAGCCTCCTGAGTATGGGATTACAGGTGCATACCACGATGCCTGGCTAATTTTTGTATTTTTAGTAGAGACAGGGTTTCGACATGTTGGCCAGGCTGGTCTCAAACTCCTGACCTCAGATGATCTACCTGCTTTGGCCTCCTAAAGTGCTGGAATTACAGGCGTGAGCCACCACACCTGGCCTGTTGCTGCTTTTTATATTGACATATGGTCCTACATTTTGATGTCTCTTATTTTGATTTTTTCCCCAAGAGTCTTCAACTAGAGGCTTTCTTACCATCCCAGCTCAAATTCAGGTTAACTCAGTGACCAAGACTAAGTGGGAAGAAAGGGGAGTTCCCAGGGACTCAACAGCCTGAAGGTTTCAGGATGACATGAGTCAGAAGCCAGGGTAAAGGGTACCATGCTAGAAACCCAGATTAGCCTTGGAAGAGAAGAGACCTCACTCAAGAGATCCCAGCACAGGGTGGGAGCTGACGCCACGCAAAACAGGCTGCTGCATGATCCAGGAGGCACACCTGGGCAGACACACCCAGGCAGGCTGTGCACGGTGAGCTGCTGTCCCAGGGAGCTGCCTGAGCCACTGCCCCATCCTGGAAGGTTTCTGCTGAGTTGGGTGCACTAGCCAGGTCACACCCAGCTTCAGCACTTGGGAACGGGACCCTGTGCCAGGGCAGAGCCCTGAGACATCCAGAGAACAAGGGCTGGCTGGTGATCTAGGTCAGGCCCCACATGCCAGTCTCAAACACAGCAAACACAGCCATCAGCACTCTGCTTCTGGGAGCCTGCTGGATATGCCACAGGTTACAATATTTCATGGCCAATCATTCCAACAAAGCATAACAGAATATTAAAGTGTATTAGGGGAATGGGTAAGCAAAAAAAGAAAAATGTTTAAATTAAAAAAAATAAAAACAGAATAAAAGGAAAGGACTCTATGGAGATGTTGGTCAGAACACTGGGCCTCAGTGTCATGATAAGCCTTCTAGAGAAGGAGAACCTTGCTAAGCAGCCAAGGGACATAGAGCTGTCCATTAGCCATGTGGGTTATGGGCAAGATGGTAGACAGCAAAGAGCTCCTCAGCCTCAGGTGTGCATCCCAGGACTCCCCAGTAACCACCTGGCTGTATGGCCAAGTAACTTACTGCTTCCAAATCCCAGTTTCCTTGCTTATGAAGTGGAACTATTAATACAAATAGAAGCTACCTACCATAGCATGAAGTGATATATGTCAAGCACTAAGCATAGTGCCTGCTACACAACAAACACTCAAATCTGCCTGTTACCATGCTGATTGGTTGAGGTCACTCAAAAAAGATACAACTCCCTCAGGCACATGGGGACATCAGGCGTTTGGGGCATTCCTTCTGGCCACAGCCAGGACCGTACCAGCCATAATGTGGTCTGTGCCCAGAACAACAGTGATGGCACTGTTCTAGCATACAAGGGCAGCTTCTCTCTCCTGGACAGGGTGCCAGGTGGGTAGAGGTCAGGCCAAAGGTTAAAAAAATGCAATAATCAGTCTCTGCAGTTACGAGAGTCCCCAGACACCTCCATTTCCTGCCTCCTCCAGGTCTAAGAAAGGGATCCTGCCATTTGCCTTGTAGAGTCCTTGGCTCTCACCTAGGGAAGGAAATGGGTCAGGTGGGAGGCTCCGGAGGCTCCCTGGCTGAGCTCTGCAGGTGGAGGGAGCTGCAGCCCCTCCTAGTGGGCCCTGGGTCTCATGGATCACCCATTAAAGAGGGCTGGAGGGCTTTCTAAAGGAACCATAAGTTGGTGTCCCTGGGACTTATGCCACTGCCCCAGCTCCTCTGCCGCCGACTCACCCTGGTCGATGGAGTGCGGAGGCAGCTGGCTGAGCTGGCTGTTGACCACGCCCGCATAGGTTCGCAGGAACTCCTCCTCGCTGGCTGTCAGCTGCAGGGTGAGAGAGCCGTGGTGAGGGGCAGGCAGCATGTACCTGTTCCCTAAAAAGCACCTGCACCCCAGAGGCACTGCGTAGGCCTGCTTGGTCCCTGGGTGATGCCTCCTCCTTTGCTTCTCAGGCATCTGTTCCTGAGATTTGACCCCTTTGCTTTCAGGGCCAGGACACCGCCCTCCCATCCTCCTTAAACTTGGTCCAGGGGTCCACAGGCCTTGCCACTCAGACTGAATCTGAGATTAGGGTCTGGTCTAGTACAGGGCCAGTGGAAGACACAAGCCCTGGCCGGAAGGCTGACGGGTGATTCCATGTCCCTCTGCTCTTTTTGAGAAATACCCCTGCACCCGCATGCCTGCTGCCTCCACAGCGCCTGTCCTGCCAAGCTGTCCCTCAGATGCCCCCTGGGAGAGAAGACTTTCAGGGTTGGGAGGGGGAGAAAAGGAAGATCAGGGCCTTGAGACTCTCACGTACCTGGTCCCAACCTGGCACAGGGTTGGGCAGACTACCCAGCAGGGCCCCCAGAACTCGACTGATGTGCTGGGGTCTGTGCCTGGGGGACAGAAGCGGCCCTAGAGCCAAGCCACAGGCCCAGGGGCCCCTGCTCAGTCCGTGGCTCCACAGGAGGCAGCTGCAGTGGCTCCGCCCTCCAACAGCCCAGCAGGGCCCCTCCCTGGAACCCCCTCCCTGGGGGCCGCTGCCTGACATCTTGAAGGCACTCACGTTTGATCCCATCTTCCGCAGCATAAGCAGCACTCGGACCTTCTGCTGAATGTACATCTCCTCCGGACTCTTCCCGGGAGCTCCCTCGCGGTTCATCCCCCTGCCCGGCTCTGGGGACTCCTGCAGAACAAGTAGCAGCATGGAGGGGGAAGAAATCAGGATGTGACATACTGGGATACTGACAATGCTAGTGACCCTCACTCCTCCCAGGAGCCCCTTTCCACCCACAGTCTCCTTTCTGGGAGCATGGGGCAGGTGTCGAGGTGCTGGGTTCCTCCCTCACCCACACCGGTCCCAGCCAGCTGGGCTGAGCAGCTCTGTTCTCCAGCGGGTGCTGCAGGAACCAGCCTGCCTGCTTCCTCTGTGAATGAAGCTGTTGGGTCCAGGGAGACTGAGATGACCCAGACTGCTGGTTGTTTCTACCTGCCAACTACCCCAGAGCAAGGCTCCTGCTACGAGCCACAGGACACATGGTGCATGAAGCCACAAATGTCCCAGGTTTTCAGAAAAAGCAACCTCCACGTGGGGCAAAAAAAGTGATGGGATCAGAGGCAGCTGGTTGGGGCCTTTGGCTCAAGAAACCATGAGATCAGTGCCCATCCCCCAAACACTGAGACAGCTCCCTCAGCAAAAGACCACGACAAGTTTAAGAGGCCAGGGCTATGGCTCCTGGGCTGAGCTCAATGGAAAGACGCCGGCCCAGGGCTGCAGGGTGTGCTACCTCAACCTTCACAAACCCACCTCACCTGGCAGAGGGAGGCTCCTGCAGGCTGCTGGGAAGGCCAGCAGCTGTGTCCACATGCAGCAGGGACCTAACCTACAGAAAGTCTCCAGGAGAGAAGTCCAGAGCCTCCTCCCTCCAGGAGGAGCTGGAGGAGAGGAAGCTGGGTATGGAGGGGCTTGGGTTACACACTAGTAACTCCTGGATGAGTCAGAAATAACGCAGCAGCTGCTGGGGTGGAGTCTTATCAGCCCTGGTGCCAAGGAACTGAGCTCGGAGAACCACGGAACCAAGCTGGTGAGCCAAGAACACTCCTCACACCATCCATCCCTCCAGGACCAGCAAGCCCTGGACCAGCAGGCTTTCCCAGGCAGGGTGGCTCTCTGTACAGAGGGCAGCCTCAGCAATGTGCCAGAACCTAGGCAGCAAACTTCCTGTAGGTACCTGTCAACTGCTCATAAGCTAATGGGGCCCTTGCCCTAAAAGTACGCACAGTAAACTGATATGCAGCTGCATGCTTGATGCGGCACAGGTCTCTTTCCAGCAACTTCTGCTAACCCCTTACAGCCCAGACTTTCTTACTTGATGCTGCTCCCCTTCCACTGCCTCCTGGGCTTAGAAAAGGGCCTAAGAAACAAGTGGGAACTGGGAAAGAGGAGCAATCTGCCTCAGGAATGGTCTCTGATGAGAGGGACCCCCAAGCACTCCCCAGACCCAGGGTACACCCCAGCACGGGAAAGGCCATAACTTCCTGCACAGCTGAGCAGGGAAGCTCTGTCCTGGGGCATCACTCCTTACACTGACCTATTCTCACTTCCTACTTCACTAGATGTGCAGCACTGCTGGTCTGGGGTCTGGGGCTAGACTCCACATACCCTTATGGGGTGAACCTTGCATCCCTGGGTCTGGATGATGATGCAGTCTCCACCTCTTCCCCGATGGCCACCTGGATCTAAGTTACCACATGACCTCCTCACGATTCCCCCTACTTCCTTTCTCTACACAATAGCCAGAATAATCTTATGCTTTTTTTTTTTTTTTTGAGACAGGGTCTCCCTCTGTCGCCCAGGCTGGAGTGCAGTGGCGCGATCTTGGCTCACTGCAGCCTCAACCTGCTGGGCTTCAGTGATCCTCCCAACTCAGCCTCCTGAGTAGCTAGGACCACAGGTATACATCACCACACTTGGCTAATGTTTTAAAAATTTTTTTAGAGACTTGCTATGTTGTCCAGACTGGTCTCAAACTCCTGGGATCAAGTGATCCTTCCACCTCAGCCTCCCCAAAACAGATGACATCACTGCTTAAACCTACCTGAGAATGCATTTCGCAGTCCTTGCCAGGACCCTGCCAGGCCTCTGCCGTCAGCCCTGCTCCCTCTCCAGCCTGCCTCTCCTACCTCTCCCCCTTGCTCTGCATTCCTGGCCCTCATCCATTCTGGAACATGCTGAGAAGCTCTTCCCCGCTGGCTGCCTTTGTACTGGGTGTCCCCTCAGCCTGGAACTGGGTTCTTTCCATCCTTTGTCTTGGCATCAAGACATCCTCCTAGGGAAGCCTTCCTTGACGGTTGCTCTGGTACCGAGGAGTACAGTGATATGATCAGAACTCACTGCAGCCTTGAACTCCTGGGCTCAAGCAATCCTCCTGCCTCATCCTCCTAAGTAGCTGGGACCACAGAAGCACGCCACATCACTCTGCCACTTTAAACATTTTTTGGTAGAGGTCTTGCTATGTTGCCCAGCCAGGTCGGTCTCGAACTCCCAGCCTCAAGCAATTCTCCTGCCTCAGCCTCTCAAAATATTGTAATTAACAGGCATGAGCCACCATGCTCACCTGTCCTGATTCTCTGGAAGTGCCTGGTGGAGAACTTGCTTACTGTCTCTCTCCACTGCCTACTGCAAGGCTAGGGCCCCCTCTGCTGTTCCTCCGGGAGCAGGCACTTGACAGGCACTTAATAAATACTGCCTGATTGGCTAAATGGAATAGTGAGACAGCCAGTGGTGTCTAAGCTTCTCCCAGTCGGCAATATCCAGATCCATCTAGGGCCAAAGGTCATTGTGTTAAGAGACCAAAGTACCTAACCCAGTCTCCCATAACCAAATTTAGCTTTTCCAAAGGACTCTCACTTTGTAGTGTGCCTTGGGCTATGTGTTCTCCAACAAACAACTGAAATGCTCCGTAAACTCTTTGAGCTGGGAGTTATGGCTTCCGGGAGTAAAAATCTTCCAATTCTATCTGGCTAGTTTTCATTTGCTCTCTCTTGGTGAGAGACAGGATGAAATACAAGGAACTTGCCACTAGGTGTCACCACATACAAAAGCACCAGCTTTGCTTCCTTCCCACCCCCAGCCAGCTCTCCCAGGGCTCCAGACCACCCAGTTCAAGTCAACCAGTCCTTAAACAATGTGGGAAGCAGATCACCCCTGCTCTGGCTCTCCCTACTTCAATCCTACTATCACAAACCACACTGCAGCCCCAGGTCCCAGGCAAGATCTATTTATTCATTCAGAGAGCCAGCTCTTGCCCTGGCAAGGATTGATGGATGTCTGGTTTTTGCTGCCACATTCCCTCAGGACCCGGTGGTCTGGGTACACAGTAGGTGCTTCCCAGAGGAGCTTCGGTTCTGCATCACAGACCGCTTCCATCACAGACTGCCTCCATGGCCCCAGCTTTGCAGAATGCTGCCCTGTACAACAAGCCTTCTATGAACAGCTCGTACTGATAGGTTCCACCCTATCTTCCTGGCTAGTCAGCCTTGCTGTCCTGGGAATGCCTAACGCTGGGATTTCCGGGGCTTGGGCTGCCCGGCTGTGGGCCTGCAGTGTCACCGGCACTTGCATGGGTCTTTGGAGCCAGGCTACTCTTGCTTCAACTCACTTCCCTGGAAGAGACAGTGTTCGCTTCAGGGAAGACCCCTGACTTGTCATTTCTAAAAGCCTGGTCATCAAGAATTCTTCTAGACCTAGTACAAGCTGACTGCATCCTGCTGCCTAACAAGAGGTCACACTCAGGGCTGGATCTGGAGCAGAAATGCGGTCAGGAGCACATGTTCCTGCCCTTCCCATTTCAACACAGAAACACCATGACTGGCTTATATAATTTTCTCCTAATCTGCAGCAAGGGTGTTAATGAGGAGCAAACTCGTAGTTGGAGAGAATAAATCATAATTAACACAAACAATACAGACATTTCAGTCATGGTGTGCTACACGTATATTAAAGTATGTCTTTGTTGCCTATACAAGCAAATGTGCTATTAAATTTTTATCATAATTCTGACAAGCATCAGATTCACTTCATTTGAGAAATCTTATTTTCCCCTGTAGGGATGAAAAACTGGTCTCCATTAAAATATGTTTAAATTACATAAACTAAAACTGCAACTAAATTAGACACATTAATTATTCATCCAGTCCTTGAATGTGAGAACTAAAAGTTATGATGGTTCTCGATTATGGTCTCTTGACTAGCCCCATAAACATTCCAGTGTCTAAAATGGGGCAGCACTTCCACTCAAAATCCTAAAGAAATTTCTGTTATGCCAAAGTCAGAGGCAAGCCAAAAAAAGGAAAATGAAAAGAAACAGGCCAGGCACAGTGGCTCATGCCTGTAATCCCAGCACTTTGGGAGGCTGAGGCAGGCAGATCATCTGAGGTTAGGAGTTTGAGACCAGCTTGGCTGACATGCTGAAACCCTGTCTCTACTACAAATACAAAAAATTAGCCGAGTATGATGGTGGGTGCCTGTAATCCAAGCTACTCGGGAGCCCGAGGCAGCAGAATCACTTGAATTTAGGAGGTGTCAGTTGCTGTGAGCCAAGATTGCACCATGCGCTCCAGCCTGAGCAACAGAGTGAGACTCTTGTCTCAAAAACAACAAAACAGAAAAGAAACAACAGGCAACTATTAACTATTTAAATGAATTCTGAGGGGACAGGTCTGTGGTTATATTTTATGCAGTAGGCAACCACACATTCTGCAAAAAGTGAGTATCCCAGAAAATGACATCTGATTGGGGCAAATTCAATAAAGAGACATTAAGGTACATACTTTCAAATTAGACCCAGAGACACAATCCTGTTTCTTTCTCTCTCTCTCTCTCTCTCTCTCTCTCTCTCTCTCTCTCTCTCTCGCTCCCACTCGCTCTCGCTCTCGCTCTCGCTCTCTCTCCTGTTGGTTCAGAGCCGCCTCTCTGTTGAAGAAAGCCTAGCTGGCCAGGAAAGGATGGTGAGGAAGTGGCACCCGACCACTGTGAAAGGTCCACACAACGGGAGAACTGGCCTTGGCTTCACAGGCCACACCACATTCTCAGGGAGATACCCAAGGGCATCTGTAAGAGGTACCCTCAGATGCCACACTCCTGCCCAGCCTTTGCAGGGACCTAATTTTGACCACCACGTAGTTTCCAGCTTTTAAGCAGTTGATCTCACTTTAGAAGAATTAGGAGGCAGTGCAAGAGGGACCTGGAGAACAAGACTGCTGAAAGTTACACACGGCAGTTGGAGGCTGGACAGATGTGGCTCTCTGTACGGGTCGCTGTCTGGCAAATGCAGCCCATTCTGATAAAGAGCTTTGAAAGCTGGCCTCGCTTTGACAGGCACTAGTGGCCCGGAATACAAACACAGCCACCTGCACTCATTTTTATTTTTAAACTAGAAGCTAATGCTGTTGAACATCCATATTTATCTCTGTTAGAATATCCACTTATACCCAGGGTGGTCTTGCACCTGCTAGGAAGATATCAAGTAAGCTCAAGTGAGGCCAGGCAAGGCAGGTCCTTCAGACACATGAGCTGCCTCCAGCCCCTGCACTCGTCTTTTGTTTTGTCCATTTTAAAATACATTGCCATAGATTCTGATACACTTAAAAACATAAAATTTACATTTTCCTGATGTTTAAATTGCAAAAAAATACAATGCCACAGAATTGATGGTTCCTAGAGCTTATATGAAATATATCCAGAGTCTGTACATGTCTTAGCCTGAAAGAAACCAGCAGCACCAAAACATTCCCCAGACCAACCAACACATCTGGAGAAAAGATCATAAGGGCTCATGGTGAAAGGTAACAGCTGAGCTAACTTCATGATCAGCCCTGGAGCCTGGCATCCAAGACCCCGCCTCACCCCCCACCGGACACTACTGTATGGCCACATTATAGAGTCCTTCCCCTGGGGGCCTTACCTGCTTCTGGAAATTAACCTCAGGCAAACAGGTACTCAACTGTGAGGGGAGGACTGTGACCGGGGAGAAGTAGGAAGGTGCCGCCCTGTGGAGACACAGAACATGGGTCATGGGAGGAGCTGGGAGGGCCCACGCAGGTGCTGGGGCTGGGCCTGGAGCACACACCCCATGCTGAGGATGTACAACTGCTGGTGGGAAGCTCGAGGAGCCGGGCTCTGCCTTGGTCCAGAAATACCTGTGTGTCTGGCAAGCCCAGGAAACCTGCGCCTGCACCTCTGGGATAAATAAGGTGCTGACGGCAGCTTGGCTGGCCTGGCATTTCCGGCTAAAGCAGGTCAGTCCGCTCAACACCACACACCCTGCTCCCTTGGCTTAGTCACCAAGTCTAATTGAGACGCTGTGTTCAGAGAAACTGTGGACTAGAATGCATCACTCCAGGACAGCCGATGGCCAAGTCCCACACACCTGCATGAGAGGACTCCCCACCTACCAAATCTAACACAACAAGCAAGACACAGGTAGCTCAGCACCCCGCAGCCTCTGTGCTCAGTGCATGTATATGTATCTGTGTGCTTGGTGAACACCTGCAGTTGTGTACATAAACATCAATTAACACAGACACATGCCAGAAACACATGAAAAGCACAGTGGCAGCTTGTTCGCAGACCTACCACCTGGCCACATGTCTACATGCCCCCACTTCACCTCTGGCAAGAATCCAAGAACACTGCCTTCTTTTCTTCTGCCTCCCACATACAAGCTCATCGTTCAGGTCACCTGCACAGGTTAATGGAACAGGAGCATGGACTGCCGAGGGGGTGGAGACACAGGAGAAGCAGGAAGTTTCGAGGAGTGGTGGGAGCCTTGCCTATGCGCTCCAGCTGCGTTACCTGCTCTGCTGGGGTGCAAGACTCAGTGCCTCGAATCTCCAAGGCATATGCCAACCATCCAAATGAATGGTGAGGGCACAGGCCTGTGGTTATATATTATGTGGTAGATAACCACATGTCTGTAAAAAGTGGGTACTTTTACACCCACTTTTACTACGCAGTCTTCTACTACCACAGTGCTCTCAGCTGTCATCCCTGTTGGGGGAAAGGATGGCAGACAACACTTTGAGAAACTGGTTCTGACGGTGGTGTGGGACCAGTGACAGCTCAGAACCCACTGTCTTCAACGAATTCTATAAAGAAAGCTGCTCCATGACCCAAGGGGCTGAGGAAGACCCGTTTTCCAGAGAAAGTGGGATTTCAAAAGCCTCCCCTAAAGTCAGACATTGCTGTAAACCCATGACTCTTTGTTCTGTGTGTCCCTTTAACTAGAACGGCCCTGGGATAGAAAAGCTGTCACCCACCACTACCACCCCCTCCACCATCAGACTAACCCTACGGGAACAGGCCATTTGTAGCAATTAATTGCTCTTTTATTCCTCTAGATATCAAAGCACCGAAATACCAAGGAACCCTGGGGAACTTTCCAACCAAGTCCCCACATTCTTTCAAAGAGAGATGAAAAGACAGCCTTCCTCCACTTCTGAAGGGCTTTAATTTCTTCTACTGCCACGATAGCCAATTATCACTCCTGTCTACAGGGCTCAGACCCTTCCAAGAAGCAGAGGAGAATGTATTCCTGACTTTAAGGGAAAGGGTCAAAGGATAGAAACTGTTCTAATTGTCATGTTATTTTTTGCTAACCAATTTTTATTTTATTTTTTTTACTTTAAGTTTCGGGATACATGCGCGAAATGTGCAGGTTTGTGACACAGGTATACATGTGCCATGGTGGTGTGCTGCACCAATCAGCCCATCATCTAGGTTTTAAGCCCCGTGTGCATTAGCTATTTGTCTTTTTTTTCTTTTCTTTTCTCTTTTTTTTTTAAAGAAGGGATTTCACCATGATGGCCAGGTTGGTCTTGAACTCCTGACCTCAGGTGATCCACCCACCTCAGCCTCCCAAAGTGCTAGGATTACAGGCGTGAGCCACCATGCCTGGCAGGTATTTGTCTTAATGCTTTCCCTCCCCTTGTTCCCAACCCCATGACAGGCCCCAGTGTGTGCTGTTCCCCTCCCTGTGTCCATGTGTTCTCATTGTTCAACTCCCACTTATAAGTGAGAACATGTGATGTTTGGTTTTCCGTTCCTGTGTTAGTTTCCTGAGAATAATGACTTCTAGCTTCATCCATGTCCCTGCAAAGGACACAATCTTTTTTATGGCTGCATAGTATTCCATGGTGTACATGTGTCACATTTTCTTTATCCAGTTTACCATTGATGGGCATTTGGGTTGGTTCCAAGTCTTTGCTACTGTAAATAGTGCCGCAACAAACATATGTGTGCATGTGTCTTTATAGAAGAATGATTTACAATCCTTTGGGTATATATCCAGTAATGGGATTGCTGGGTCAAATGGTATTTCTGGTTCTAGATCCTTGAGGAATCGCCACACTGTCTCCCACAATGGTTGAACTAATTTACACTGCTACCAACAATGTAAAAGCGTTCCTATTTCTCCAAAGCCTCGCCAGCATCTATTGTTTCCTGACTTTTTAATATTCAACTACATTTGTCACTTTTATAGTCAGGTCAATGCTCCCAGATTACAGAGGAAGAAACTGAGGCTCAAAGTCCCTGGGCCCCAGGGCCCACCTAAGACAGTAAGTATGCTCCAAGAACTGCCTTCTTTTTCAGTTCTGCTCTGTTGATTGGCTGTGCAACCTGAGGCCAGTGACTGCTCTTCCATGCACTTCATTTCACCATCTGTATAAAAGAGATAGATCATGACCTCTACCACATCTTCCCTCAGTGGAGTCAAGTGAGACTAGGGCTGGCTTCATGGGCCTGTGGCCTGGACAGTCATACAGGGCCTGAATTTAGGAGGGCCCCATGCTTGGTTTACTGTTCTGCTCTGTCTTGAAATTCTTTTTTCTTTTGAGAGAGAGGGTCTCGCTCTGTTGCCCCAGCTGGAGTACAGTGGTGCAATCATGGCTCACTGCAGCCTCGAATGCCCTGGCTCAAGCAGTCCACCCACCTCAGCCTCCTACGTGGCTAAACCACAGGCACACACCAACAGACCCATCTAAATTTTTTTTTTTTTAGAGACGGAGTCTTGCTCCGTTGCCAGGCTGGGGTGCAGTGGTGCGAATCTCAGCTCACTGCAATCTCCCCTTCCTGGGTTCAAGGAGTTCTCCTGCCTCAGCCTCCTGAGTAGCTGGGACTATAATGGGCATGCACCACGACGCCCAGCTAATTTTTGTATTTTTAGTAGAGACTAATTTTTGTATTTTTGTATTTTTCACCATGTTGGCAAGGCTGGTCTCAATCTCTTGACCTCGTGATCCACCCAGCTCAGCCTCCCAAAGAGCTGGGATTACAGGAGTGAGCCACTGCACCTGGCTGCCTGTCTAATTTTTATATTTTTTTGTAGAGACAGGTTCTCATTATGTCGCCCAGGGTGGTCCTGAACTCCTGGGCTCAAGCAATCCTCCCACCTCAGCCTCCTATTAAAGGCATGAGCCACCACACCCAGCTTTGAAAATTTTTTTTTGTTTTTGAGACAGAGTCTCGCTCTGTCATCCAGGCTGGAGTGCAGTGGCGCAATCTTGGCTCACTGCAACCTCCACCTCCCAGATTCAAGAGATTCTCCTGCTCAGCCTCCCGAGTAGCTGGGTTTATAGGCACCCACCACCATGACCAGTTAAGTTTTGTATTTTTAGTAGAGACGGGGTTTCACTATGTTGGCCAGGCTAATCTCAAACTCCTGACCTCAGGTGATCCACCCGCCTTAGCCTCCCAAAGTGCTGGGATTACAGGCATGAGCCACTGTACCAGGCCCTAGCCTTGAAATTTTTAATAATTTCTAAACAAAGGGGCTTGTTTGGAAATTATTAAAGGTCTGGCATATGCCTACAGTGAGCCCCACAAATTATATAGATGGTCCACAATGAGAAAAAGAAGGTCAAGATGCTTCTCAAACTGCCAAGGGTTCTGTAACCTTAAGCAGACACTAAATGAACTCAAGAAGGATTTATTGAAACTTTTCTAGATACACATAACCCTGATCCAAGCTTAGGGGACACGAGGTATAGAACTGGGGCCATGACACTGAACCTGCCTTCCAGGAGTTGACTGAGTGGCTAAGGAAACCACACAACACAAGGCAAATGAAAACCACACAAATAATACATAAGAATGCGTTAAAAAGATATGTTATGTCAAGACAAACATTCCTAGAGTGTCAACCATGTATCACACACTGTGCCAACCATCTGCCACTGAGGAAAGAAGACGCAGGGCCTTAAGCCAGCATGGTAAGTGCAGAGCAAAGGGGTGTAGTAAGCTCTGCAAAAAGGCAGGGGAGAGGCTGGCTACCGACGGCTCTGGGGAAAAGTCACCGGGTCTTGAAGGATGAATAGGAGTTTGCTGGTAGAGAGAAAGGGGAAGGCATAAGAGACAGGAGTTCACCAAACAATTACTAAGCATCTATTCTCCAGCAGGCATTGAGAATATACAGGTGAGCAAAACAGCCGTGGGGTTTCCAGTGAGCAGGGGAGACAGATGCCAAACAAGTCACCCAGGTCAATGCATCTCAGACACTGAGACAAAGAATGTGAAGAGTAAGTGTGAGGCACCTTGGAGACATGTGACTGGAGCCTGGAGGAGGACGAGGAGCTGGTAGGTGTGGCTACAGGGCAGGGGTTGCCTTCAGCAGGCACGCAGAGCTAGAGTAGTCAGGAATAGCGGGGGCCTGAGTGGCAGCAGTTGGACATTGCAGGAAGGACATTACAGTCAGGGGCTGGGAGGAGCCTCTCTCTGGCAGGAAGTCCAACCTGCCAAGTAGGGACATCAGGCCCTGGTCAGGAGATGATGTGGGGAGAGTAGTCTCCCAGGAAGACCGAAGTTCAGGTGGATTCATATGAAGTCCTGTGCAAGATGTGTGGGAGGGCAGGTGGGCCACAGGCAGGACCTCATGAGGCCCAGGTACAAGGCAAAGCGGGAGGAAGGACAGTGAGAGCTGCTCCAGAGAGGCAGAAAAGGGTGGGCTTTCTAAGAAGTGGGTAGAGCAGAGCAGGGGAGAGGTCCACCTGCC